GATAAGGCAGGTGCCTCAGGCTTTAAGTATAATGAAGTAAAGTCAATCCCTACAATTGATGGCCTCGTACGCCTGAGGGACTTATTTATATGCATTTCCCTTACTAATTCGTCCTTCCTAGGTCGCTCAAATCGCTTGGAAGGATAATAGCCTCGTGTTATTTCTCTCTACCGTATACAGCGGTGCCGATGACCAACGCACCCCAAAGAGAAGGAAGAAGCCTGCCAACAAAGGGGCACAATCCAAGCCGATACAGGAGACCTTTAGTGATGCCGTAATAAAGGTTATTCCTATACCGACTGTGTCTGCTTCTTATAACGATGAAATGAATCATGTAGACCGAGGAGATCAGATAAGGTTCTATACGAGTTATGAGCACCGATTTCGCCGTGGCCCGTGGCAGGCTCTCCTTTGGTCCTTCCTTCTTGATGTAGTACTTGCGAATAGCTTCATTTTGCAGCTTAAGACCTCACAGCCGCGGTGGCCGCCTTACAAGACCCTCGAGAGCTGGAAGAGGTGCATTTCTGACGCACTATTCATCAAATTTGCCCAAGAAAGCGGCGCAAGGAAGAGATCCCGGGCAGGGAATGAGGAGGATATAAACGATACCCAGTCACGGCAAAATCACCTACAAAGAGATATCAATCATGTCAACAGGGGGATATTCTCAGATTGCCTTGCTTGTAAAGGCTTTAGGCAGGGGCAGCCCCGACCTTTTAAAAAAAGGAAGGTTAAAAATACTCTCTTACAGCCGATAACAGCTAATACACGAAGTCGGCATCGAGGAGGCTGCTCAGGTAGGCAGACCTGGTACGGCTGCCGAGTTTGTGAGGTAGCTCTTTGTAACAATCAAAACTGCTGGGACTTTTACCCTCATACAAATTAGTATGTAGGGAGAAGTACTGTTAGTTTTATTCATTTTGATTGGTCCTACACCCTTGTCGTGACCCCGCTGAAGGGCTGTACCGCTCAAAGGGATACTCTTCCCCAGAAACCCCAATACATTCCTGACAGGTCCTTGCATTATGCCCGGTCTTGCCGCATGTGCCACAGCGCCGAACCCCCGGTCGCGCCGACCTTCCTTGACCACCACTTTTCGACAATTCGGCTACTGCCTGCGTATCTACATCCATCTCATCAGTTAGATCCCGACCTTCCTCTACGGTCATCTTCCCTCTATGCTGTAGGCGGGTTCTTTTTGCTCTGCGCCGTCGGCTAAGTATCTCATTCGCCTGTCGAAGATCTTGGATCTCAGCCCTATTTAAAGCCATCTCATGCATAACTGCCTTTGTTCCTTTTCGAAACAGACTTTAGTGCTTCTAAAATTGACTCTGGAGAGCTGCTTTGATGCCTTCTAATTCGCCTTTCAAGGTATTCAGACGGCGATTCAGCCTCAATAATTGTCTTTGGGGTCTTTGAAGTCCAAGGTTGAGCCTGGCCTGCTTCCTCCTCGGCAGGCGTTGGAGTCCGTAGCTGCACATCAAGCTTTGAGACTGCACTTTCTGGGTCAAAAGGAACAAGTCCAGTTCCCTTAAAACTTCCCCTGAAAAACTGAGTGAGGTAAAATGAACAGAAGAAGATTTTAGCCTGGAGTGTGAGTTTTTTGAGCCTGGCTGCTGGGGCTCTTTACTTATCTGCTCAATCAAAAGCTATTGGTTAAGACTTTCAAAATTTCATGGCGACGCCGTTTCAGTGGGCGCGAAATTCAATTTCGCACTCTTTAGTCGATCAACAAGGGATGCTGTTACTTGTTGCCTGTCGTATGAGAAATCACACAAGACCCGCCAACCACCAACGATGTCTTCGCCAACCGATGAGCAGGGGGGAACCAACAGGACGTAGTAGTGGCAACATCATCGCACGTAATCGTGGAGTCGGACAAAGGGAAACTGTGCCCCTCGCTCTAATCATGTCGGTGCCTTCTTGCCTGTTCTTTGGCCATAGAACACTCGCTCACTTGTACGAGAGACTAGAATTGTCCCCTTCACTTTCCTAGGCAGTTGGTGCCCCAAACCTTGCAAAGCGGGGTGAAGGTTCTTCAATCCCACAATTGCTCTCTGCCAACTCTCGACACTCTCGGCTTGGCAAGTTAGGTAGGCCCGACGGCTCAGTGTTGGTTTGGCTTAATTATATTGGGGGGGTGAGTGGGGGCAGGCAACCTGATACGGAGCATTGGCAGATCAGGAAGAAGTTCGCACACAGCTAGCCACGGATCGGGATAGAAGACCCGATGAAATCTGGCGATTATCACAGACTAATTTAAGATGCGGAACCTTTGGCGAAATCTTGGGCGAGACCAGTATAAGCTGTTTATGCTACTGAACAGTGGCTACCACACCAATCTCGACACAACGGTACGCTAGCCGCGTTGCCAATTTGTGTGCCAGCACAGCTATACACTACTGCATCAAGCTTGAAAGACTGCAGGAACCAACAGATACGAGAGACCTAGCCCAGAACTGCCTGAAACATTGTTTAATGATGGAAGATGTCAGTTCCTACCTTATGACGAGGCATCACTATTCCATTACCCAGCATTAACATCTAAAACAGGGAGATCCTCAGCTGTGCTCGAAGCAACATCCGGCGACCAGTCGTGACAAGGATTGGCGTTTGGAGCTAATACAAGATTACCATACCTACCTTCTAAAGGCGGTTGTGTTGGTGGGTTTGTTGTTGGAAAATCCGGAAATTCTCCTTCTCTGCAGGATTCAGACTGTTAGTCTGAAAGTCCTAGATTTAGAGTTCAAAGGCCTAGATAAAATCATCTAGAGACATAAACCTGATAAGAACTCGCATTTCAATAAGCAACAATCAAGTTTAATAAATATATGTCTCACTCAGCACTACTGCGCAATATAAACAACATTTGTTTAATCGCTGACGAAGGGAGCTGTAGGTCCGGGTTTCCGTGGAGAAGTTCCGAGCCACAGCCTAGACGTTGGACAGATCATGGACCAGTCGCTGGGGGCGAGATGTGCCGCGTTACCTTTCATCCTCTCTTTCCTCTCTCCATGGTTTAGCGAATGGCGCTCGTTATTGACAAAACATGCTTATCGACAGTAAGTCATCCCAAGGCTCAGTGCGGTGCATTTCCTATATCGTACGGCCTGAGGGAGGCTTGTGCACCTACTCAAGCATGTAGAGTGGAAATGCGTCGCACTTCCAGTATGGGCACGTTTAACAGAAACGCAAAATGCAGTGCGTTTCTCACACGAGAGCCCGTGCCAACCTTTAGAATTCATATTAGCTAAGTTGAGTAACTTTACAGGAGCCGCAAACCGTTTGCCAAATGAGCCTTGAGAAACAAGGTTTGATATAGGGTAGTCATAGAGAAGAGTACTAAATTTTTCTCTATGACGCTTATCTGCAGTAGCAGTTTCGCAATTACTACCAGTGTCGGGGTGTTGTGTCTGTTATATTACTAGTGATACAGCCTACGAAGGGCCGAAGGACATGGTTTTTCCAGCGAACGCAGACAGAAAATTAGAAGTTTATTTGGAGCAAACTGATTGGGTGGTCGCCCATTGCAATCTCAGCACGGCGACTGATTCAGACAAGTCGGCCGTGGGCCGTTTAATCCGCCGCCTGAAAAGAAGATGCAGGGTCTGCCAAAGTCCAATTTGCACCGTCCCACAAGAAAATAACTAGTCCATCTTTCAGCCTCATTGTCAAGTGTCCTAAAATGACTGGCGATTTCACTATATACCTCCTCGGGGTAGATCCAAGCGTGAACGTGGATTCATCGTGATCTCGAATTGAGGACATGTCAAATGACTTCTTCCGAGCTTGACTAGCTGAATGATGGGAGCGCTCACCCCTTAACACGCCTGACGAGGAGAGCGAGGGGATCACTTGCTCTATCTTCGAGACGCATGGGCCTAGTATCCTTCCACTCTTCATTGTTAGAAACGCAACCCTTTGCTAGCCCTCCTTTAGGGAGTTCTAGCTTTCATTGCCATTGTTACGAAAGTGAAAGGGAGCGATATGATGAAGATGGCACTCTTTTTTCTTAGTCAGCGGTCAAGTGCCATGGCTCGGAACAAATAGAATTGTTAGAGAGCAACCCATCATCCATAGTCTCATTTCACAGGTCAGCAAGGCAAAATATAACTATAGGACACTTTAAACCACACCATGTTCCCTTAGCAAACCCGAGTAGGAAAAGTACAGATTGGTTATTGTGGTAGCATCTTCAAAAATGAAAGTCCAATCCTATATCAAAGGTCTTGTTCAAAACTTATCCGGCTTCATGTGAGTCTACTAGGTGAAAGAGCTCATGACCGGATTGACTTCGTGCGAGCACCTCGGTCGAGACTTTAGATGTAGGTGCGTAGCCGGATCTGAGAAGCCGATCGGCCTCGTGCTTCAAAACGGTCTCAAGGACAATATCTTAGGCAGCGGCAGGATCGTGTATCTACGCCGTGGAGTAAGCTCCGAGAAAACACATAATGCTCGCCTTCATGCCATGTAGCACGCTCGTTGGATAGATAACGGGCTGCTGACGACCTAAGCTTCGGATAATAGGCCATTCTTCTCGAACAATTCTTTGTCACAAAGAATGCATAGTTATCTAATCGTACGCAAACGGCTATCCAAGTCCTGAAGTGCTCGTGCGAGCCCGGTTGAGCACCCACTGCTTACTTATGGTAATGTTGAACGAATTGATGGCAATCTCAGGTAAGTCCATAGTTCGGGCGGGACGAAAAAGTGATCAAGATAGCTACAGTGACCTATATCAGTACCGACCAAGAGAAATATTTGTCCGCCTGGATTCCCATCCATTCCAATCTTGGGCGTTCAGCGACCCCATCCTTGGCAAGGTAGATTCCTATCGCTCGACTCCGAGGAGGAGAACAGGGTCATCTACCCAAGTCGAACGCTTGGCCGGTAGGTGGATAAAACGAAAGCAGACGAAAGAAAACTAAATAATTCCTCAGACTTCCATTTTATCCAAGAAGTGGAGAATAAAAAGCTCAAAATCAATTCCGTCATGCTATGCCTATTAGAGCTGATTCTAGGGCCTAAACTAGCTGCAAAGTAGCTTATGGTCGCCCAATTGTGTCTCGGTGGCTACATTTCACAGACTGTGTTGGACCGTCCCCAGCACCCAGAGAAAAAGATGACTATTAATCATCTTGGCTCAGGCGGGTGAGAATGTGGACGTAGTCTTTCACTTACTCTATTAAAGCTGAATCAGCCTGGGCGAATCGGTCAGTGACTAACACGTGATGGGATATTCCTTTTCGGCCTCTGAGTAGTTGGCTGAGTTGTCCTAAAATCACGAGAGCGGAAGAGTCTACGAGCCCTATCAACAACACGGATCTCGAGGTACCCTGCGGGGCGTTTGGCTGGCGCAACTCACATGAGGGTTTGACTGGTCGTAGGGGCTTGGAGCGTTGAAGCCCATGGGCGGCATGTAGCCATAAGTCGTATAAGGGGTCAGATCGTCGTCGCTGGGGCATGACTCCCGCTTGGTGGTATCGCTAAAATTCGTCATTGGGGAAAGCATCATGGGCACAGCGGAAGCATTCAGGTAGTTGGGGTAGGCGTCGGCAGTATTCATGGCCAAGGAGGCCTCAGGGGAATCGTAGGGAGCGACGAACATCTCATCAGGGGTCGGATAAGTCGAGTATGTGAACTGGGAAAGGCTGTTGGAGCGAGCCCGGTCGCCGTGGGTGCCAGGGGGGAAGAGATCGTCAGTTGGCTCCCCGGGAGGAATGAACTGGCTCTGAGAGATGACTGGCTTGGTGGAGGTAGCGGGCTGAGACTTTTGGGACTTGAAGGATCGCTTCGACTTGGTGGCCTCCTGGGCCTGCTTATCGGACCCGACATGGTCAGAAGAGCCAGCACGGCGCTCGAGGTCCTCGAGACGTCGCTTGAGTCTCTTGCCTACAAGCGAGTATTCATGTCAGTTCTGGTTAGGAATCAGCTTTGGAATCTTCGGGAGCCAAGTCCGGTGGAAGCCAGCCTCTCGGAGTTAGTGGAGAGAGCGTACGGTAGTTGCGCTGAGCAATGCGATTCTGTATCCGTCGGCGCTCAGCAATGTCAGAGATCTTGGTCCAGTCCTCATCAGGGTTAGCAGATGCACTACTGGTACCTGAGTAGCTTCCGCGAGGAGGAGCTTCCGCGTAGGCGGGTAGTGGCATGAACATGGGCATTGTGAAAGTGGCTGTAGATGGTTGAGTAGAGGGTTTGAGTAGGTAGGCGCCGTGGAAATGGTACTTGTCGTTGCTGCCAACGACGGGGCGATGGACGACCCAGGCACGATTGAGACAACGGGTTGGGAATCAGCCTGAGCTGTCTATTGATGTCTCGTTTCTGTCTGTCCTCTTCCGCTCGTCTATCTTTCGGTGCTTGCAATCGACCAGCAACAATGGCTGGCGGTTAGTAGTGGTTGGTATAGATAGGGGCGAGAATAAACAGGTTTATATATCGACGGGCGTGGAGGCGGCGTAGGTGAATAAGTAACAAATAGCACCGGCCAAAGCGTACCTTTAATATAGCACGACATCATTGCGACTGCCGATAGTTTGCTTATATGCTAGGGTATTAGAGCTATAGTAAGAGACAAACGAGATGGAGGTGACAAAGATGGGATCGAGGCTCCAATCTGTAGATACGGTCGGGGCTCTCCCCAAAGTAGTCTATCATTTCATTGCGGGCGGTACGAGTCACGAAGAGGCGCTCGATCTCCGGGACTCCTCATCACGGGGGGATAAGAGACTGAATATCCAAGTAAGAGTCAGAGATAAGAGGCGTAACGGACTCAGATGGCAGAAGTGCTGCCTAATGCGGCTCAACATCGGACGACACCTGCCTGGGGTATGTTAGAGGCGGCATATGATATGGAGAAGTAGGGATGAAGTTCTTTCCATCGGTCAACTAGGCCTGTAATAGGTAAATTCCCCGAACGCCTCCTCAAGCTGATTACTAGATACCTAAACTACCGCGTAGCTTAACTTTTGGCGCGCGTCGTGTGGCGCGAGTCAGTATCACATAGGCGAAGTTTGTGCTTGGAATCGTAGCATGCTAGACCGAAAGGATATGAAGCTGGCGGTGATAAGGTGAAGCCATGGTGGAATATTGCCAATTAGTGATCTCCTGGGTGTTGAGTAATGGGTGCTAAGCAGCGGGCGAGCCATGGCGCGAAGGTAAAGAGGAGGCGATGGAGAGGGTGGGTAAGCCCGTTGACCAGTCCCGGACACCCTTCTGTGCTCTGATAGAATATAGAGCCAGGTGGGTTAATACTCGGCGCCTTATAGACCTCGCGTATTGCAATCCAGGATTAGTTTGCGACCTTATAATGTCCCGACTTGCACGCAGAGCCAGGAAGAGGCGGAAACCACTAGGTTCACATATACTCGTGGGACTGCTTTTCGTTCTACCATTATATTGCATCTACGCGACGAAAAGTCTGAAAGACAGAGCTCCATCCATGCGCTCGCCAATCAGCCAGATAAGGAATGCTTTTAAGCCAAATATAGTTCGGCCTAGATGGCTGGATTACGGCTATTTTGTTAGCTCGCCCGGATTCTTGAGCCCCCCTTTCGGCTTACCCCGACATACTATTACTAGACCGTACATACAAGACAAACAAGCATAGCATGCCGCTCCTCGATATGATTAGAATCGATGTTTGCTAACGACCCTCTTGCCTAGCTTTTGCATTCCTCCGTGGCGAGACGGAGGATGATATACTTGGGCAATAGACCAGCTGATGTTATTGATAAAACAAAATGGGTTGATTGTGTTGCTGTTAGTTCTAAGTTACATATATTCGAGAGCACAGCTCCTTACATAGTATCTACATCCCAGCAACCAGCATTTCGGACCACCTTAGTCACACGGTCTCAACAATATCAGTAATATCCGGCCACTCCGCTTCACCAACAAAACCAATCGGCTGCCGGGCATTCTCCTGCAATTTAACCTCCAGCTGAGCTAAGTCTTTACGGATCTCATCAATAGTCGCATCCCCTATAGAGTGCTGTTCCATCTCTGAGTCATTATCATGCCTGGCTGCATCTGTATGTATGAAGCTCTGGTTTGGTAAGAGCAGTGCAAGAGGTAATACTACAGCTGTCGAAATGTTTCTTTGCTGAATTAAAAAAGGTCGCAAGGTCTAGACCGATCGATCCAGGAAAGTCTCGACTCTTCTTGGTTCTAGACCGTTCGAACGGCCAGACCGGTAATATGTGTTACATTGTTGGCGAAACCCGCCCCACTTCCAATCGCCGCAAAGCCCGTAAATCAGATGATTTGAGCCTGGCTGCTAGGGTTCTTTGCTTATCTAGTCAACAAATGCTATTACCCGTTGACTCATGCGGGGCGAGCCCGGGCGAGCCAACTTAGCAAGCTAAGTTGGCCCCAAAACCCCGGGACATTGGCGGGGCCAGATTTTGGCTGTGATTTGCCGCCTTTCTCATGCTTTGATGTTCTCATGCCGTCCAAAGTCGTTATGAAGTCACGAATTAAAGGAAATTGACGTCTCTCGTGAAGCTGAAAGGCAAGGCTTTTGGATTTAGCTATAGAAACTGCTGCTTGTGCATCCAGGCCCTAGGTATTATTCGCAGGTGATTATCTCCTGAGAGGTCATAAGGCTCCAACGCGGTCACGACGAGGGGTTATAGCCAATTAAAATGCTCGGAATAGGGGGTACTTCCACCGCCACCTAATCTATACGGTGATAGAAGTACCAACAGTTTTTATCGTTACAAATCGCTACACTACATACCTTACAGCCATACCTAGTTTGTTTTGCCCTGCGCCTGATTCTTCTATTACCACTGATTTTACTGAAAGCATGCTGTTTTGGCCCCTTTGACCTTATTTGCCCTTGTCGGATATGAGACACATGCTCTTCAACCAAAACGATATGAAGGCCTAAGGCAGTCGGATTGAACAGATGATGCCACCTTTTGAGATGAATGGAAAGATTATCAATGCAATGGATATTCGTCAGGTCCACATCCAGCTCGTATTCATAGATCGACGCTATACAGTGCATCTCGACCTGCAATCCTTGCACATTTTGAGTTGACATCAGTACATAACATATGGTCTATGGGCTGCCTGGGAGCTTCGGAACTTAGCAACAACTTGAGATAGTTATGCATGTAGCTTAGACAACGGGGCATAATGCATTCTAGTAGCTATCAGAGACTCTGGACTCTTGCTCAAACACCGTCAATATTGTCAGGCTATTTAGTTTACCAAACAGAGAGAGATACTCCTGCCATGATCTCAAATGATCCCCCCCCCTTTTTTTTTTTTAATAGAGAACAAATGACACAAAAATTAATAAAGAAGAGCCAACCAACAAATTCGTGATCTTCTGCCAATGCCCAATCTGCGCGGAGTCAGTCTTGAGCGGGGAACCGCCAAGAAGGCTGTTTCAGCCTTCCAACCTCTGTTTTTCTTCAACTCCTTGGCCAACTCTAGTTGATATCAACTTGCCAACTGACAATACTTCTTCGCAGTATTCATACAACTTATGTTATTCTCCATACGCAAACGGAAATACCGGGCGACCACCATGAAAGTCGCACTTTGTAGAGAATGCAGTGACTTCTTGCCGAGCAGTCACGACGAGAAATGGCGATCCTTCAATAACAGCCCGTAGGGAGAGAGATCAGCTTGCAACGTTCTAGAGGCGGCTGATTCTGACTGCCGTCTTTGCCAGGCTGCAATGCACAAGTTCGGAGCCCTCCAGCCAGACCTACTGTCACTCGCACAGACAAATGCTCAACCAGTTACTTTTCGATTGCTCATAAGCCTTACTAGAACACAAACATACAATGGGCTGAAGATCTCTACAGACCGTGCTTGCGGACCTCTATCTCGCAAAAACGGATCGAGTTTCGCCTGTGGCGCGTAACGCAGGACATCACTCAGTCTAAGACTATTCAAGAGTACATCACTAAAGTCGTTTCTCGGAGACTTCTGTGATTAATTTACAACGCGATATATCCAATTAATGCCGGGCCTGTCTCTAGCCATAGCCTCATCATGCTATGATCGGGCGCCTACTGGCACCCAACATCGTTCCCCAAGAAGGTCGTGTTAATATCATCACGATGACGTCACAACTCTGCCTAGACTTAGGGTAATTTGCAATGGTGGTGGCCAAGGAGGGTCGGCGCGAGGAAGGGTTAAGCGTTGGGAACATGCGGCAAGACTGGTCATAATACAAGAACATTCCAGATAGTTATTAACACATCTGGGCAATAGTACCGCGCTCTATTAAATAAATTAATGTTGTGTTGTGTTGTTTTTCTATATTTTACAGCGAGTTTCTTATGTTTTTCCGACTCCCTTGTATATTTGACTCGCTTATCACATAAGTTTAGACTTAAATGGAAAATAGCGAGTGGGCCCATGCCCCACAAGTAATATGCATGAAGAAAATGACTAATCTCTCCCTTTCACTCATCCAACCAATCAACGCGTTTAAGGTTCTCGCCACTCATCTAAGCGTCAACGCACTCTTCATGAGACGTGGAATCACCTCTCTCTAGCACCTCAGAAAGGCTGGTTGGCCTCTAGCAACGGGTCTTCTCGCCGGGCCGTCCTGCGTGTTAGTTACGGCATCAGTCACAAAATCGTGTCTCACTGGGAGAATTTTGCATTGAGCGTTGGAAAGGAGCCCTGCTTTCCCGGCAATCACAATGCCAACCCCGGACTCTCGACACATACTTGAGCGGGCCACCAAGCTGATTGAGGCGTGGTGTATAGACTTCGGAGCACTCAAATCTCCGCATGAGGCGTACCAAGAGCAGGTGGCGGCTGCGAGAGTGAATATCGACGAGGTGTTCGACAGTCTGTCCACTTGTACTAAACCTTCCATCCAGTTAGCACTTCAGAAACAGCTTACCGAATACTATGACCGGCTAAGGGAACTGCAACTGAACCACGATAGGACGATAGGACAGCAACAGGAACGCTATAAGGAAACCATCAATGCCGCTATGAGGCAGCTCTGTGACAAGCTGAACACGGTAATTGGGCCATGCAAGACATTGAAACCTTTCCCGAAAGTCGCAAATCCACAATCCAACCAAGGTCAGACTATCAGTTCATCGGACAGCCCGGAGAGATGCAACCCGGTGTTCAACGTGGATACGCAAACAGACTTGGAGCAGAGCGTCATCTACGTCTGCGTGGTGAGTATTCTGTACCCTGCGTTGACCCTAGACTTCTGTTGACATATACAGCATGGCGAGGCACAGTGTCTGGATTCCGTCCCTAGTAGACGGAAACGCCGCCATACTAGTGGAGTACAGACCCGTGGAAGGCCAGATAAGATGATAAAAAAACACACTTTAGAGAACCAAAGTCGGCCTGATAAGGTTAGGCCATGCGATAATGGTCGAAAACGACAAAGAAAGTCTGCCATGGAGGGTGTTGAACCAGCCTGTGGACAGGTATGCCTCGTATTTCGGAAGAAGCTGAAGCAATGGCTAGCTGCCCTCGTCCTCCCAAACAACTTCAACGAGGCTAGCGTTGCCGCCACTATCGCGAGCTTCGACTTGACGAAGGAAGTGGCGGAGTGCTGGGAGCACATGCACGAAACAGATGGATTTCGATGGCGGCAAGGCCATAACCAGACTAAACCTGTAATAGCTGAGCGGCAAGTTGCAATCATGTATTTTGAAGGACCGGAGTTTCCAGCAAAATGCAGAACCGATTGGGTGCACATCGAAGAACTGCATAAATACGACCCTGGAGTTCACTCGTTTCTTATCCCTCACTCAAAAACGGTCCGGAAATTCTTAACTGGTCAGCTGGCAGCACAATCAGGCACAGAGGCTAAGCGAGTTAAGTTAGGAATTACCAACGGTATGTCATCCAGTAATATCAAAGGCCCTATTAGCCTATGCCGATGAGTTTACTGACACTATGTCTCAAGAGGCAGACACCCAGAAGCAGCGAACCTCATACGAATCAGCTGCGGTATGCGAGATGATTTCTCAAGACGACTGTCCTGTAAAGGGAAAGTTGGAGGATTCCGCAGATGTTGGTGAATCCCAGATCACGCCAGCCCCCAGTCCACGTACAGTTGCGCCAGCCATGAACCTACAAAAGAAGGGCTGGCTGGACTCTGAATCTGGAAAGAGAGACTCATCAAACGGCAGGATCGTCGGCTCACATAAAGACATTGGCGTCGTACAAGTCGGTGTGGACGACCTTATTCAACCCAACACGATACTTGGAAGCGGTTTGTTGGTTACTGCTGACGGGTGTTGGGCAGCATCCAGACCTGGCCAACAGCAGACGGCTGGACATGCACTGGTAGCGATGCCATCGACATCGGGACCTCTTCCATCCATACAACCTGTTCTGTCGCCTGTCCCGACTCTTCGTAGTGCTAGAGTTGCACGATCTGAGCATGTAATGGGGCGAGCAAAAGGAAGAGAGGCTATAACTGAGTCTGTCAAATTACCAGGAGTCTTGCAGATGATACATGGCGATGCACCCAATAGTTTGAGCTCTGGGTGGAGGCAGAATCCGACGCTGAATACAAGGCCGCTTCAGCCCCACCGGCTACTGTCCGAACCTGTGTCCTCGATCCCGAGTCTCTCGGAGAATGGTTTGAGATGGGCTTTGACTCCGCCAGTGACATCGCCGGAGACAATATTCATTTGCCACAAACAGCCGCTGTACACAGCAGTGAAGGATATTCCTGCGCTATCTCGTCCGACAGAGAGGATATCATATGGACGATATCGCCTTCTTGACCCCCTACAACAGCCAGGTGCAGAAACTCAAGGCGGTCCTCGGCAAGAGCTTTAGAATCTACCTTAGCAGGAGGAGCTTGGGGACCATAGCAGTTGAAGGATCCGGGAATGATTCGCAGGGGTAAAAAAAAAAAAAAAAAAAAAAAGGAAATTCCTACAGCAGCATAACTTCCTCGAATGACTAGGAGGTAGTAGCATTTGTAACTTAGCTAAATAAAACGTGGTTTATAAGCAAACGGCGCGGATTTTCCACCACTCCATCTCGGTTAACGTCAATTACACCACCATATCGTCTTTAATCCTAAAAAATTACTCGGAATTATTTACATGAATCACATCTCCCTATTCCTCACGAGTCCGGGAATTATGTCCGGGTTTGCCGTACCTCCCGCAGTTCCGTTCACTTGCTTCGCCTATTCCAGGTTGGCTACCACTCCCGTCCATTTCTTCTCAATCCTCTTCTTGATACCTTTCTGAGATAGCATAACTTGCCCTGATTGAACAGAAAGCATTCCGCCAAGTTGTGGCCTTGCTCTTTTTTGCCCTCTGGTGCCTGCTAAGCGCCTAATTAGCCCTTTGCGATGAACGGACCTGATCGTTAAGAAGGGTCGCTGAGTGCGCTAATGCTTGTATGCCTTTCGCAAGCTGGTTCACAGCCACGTATCCCGTGTCAGTGAGCTACTTTGATGTTGGTCAGCTCGATCTTTGATCAGTGTTACGAAACGGCTTCTGTTAGGTTATGAGGTGTCTGGGAAGTCCAAGGTCTCGCTGCCGCTACTAGGCTCACCTCGGGCGTTGGCGTCCGCAACTTGATGTTTAGCTTTGACAGGGCAATTGCCGGCCCCAGAGGTACTAATCCTGATTCACTAACCCTGACTTAATGTTTGGTTTCCCCTTACCGGCAGAGAATGCGGCCTTAAAATCGATGAAGTCGATCTTGGTCACGTGGCTAATGTGCGACTTGACCAGCTGCTCAATCTGATAAGTGTATGCCCGCTTCAGAGGGCCGAAGCACCTGAGGTCTAGGGGATGAAGGAGATTTGATAAATGAGGAGGCATAGAGCCGCGACTATCTTCGTGTCCATACAGAACCGGTCGAAACCGGGGGAGAGAGATGGCGTAAGTGGCCGTCAATCACTATCATTCGATAGACGCCATTCTTGCGATGACCTATATGTTTATCGAAATGCTGGATCCATTCTAAGCCTGTATTATTATTTTTCTATCCATTTTCGGCAGGCTTAGTGATCCAATCCGGTGGGAGGTTGCACTCTGAGTACCAGTTTGTGAGGTGGTAGGCCCTTTTGATCCTGATAAACGACCTGATGCGCCAGCCCTATGTATTAACCCCCTGGATCACCGTGGCCCATTCGCGATTACCTGGCTGGGTCCTTTTCGGTTCTCCGCTCCGTTCGAAGCGTATCATAACCATAGTTAGGGTAATAATACCATCATAAACCCGGTTCAGTCAAAGTTAATAAATATCGATATCATCAATGCCATACTTCACCCTTAAGTTTCGCACAAGCTCGACCCAAGCCAAAATTTGCCGGGACCTTCGCATAAGGCTCTTGCCGTATCTTCCACGTCAGCAAACTTTGACGCAAAGCCTCGTGAATACAGATCTAGAATATGTTTAAAAACGGCCTCTTCCCCCTAGATAGTTAGTTTTCAAGAGTTGGGTATGATATGGCGTCGCGACGGACGGCCTTTCATTCTGGCGCGTAGTGTTACTTCAGGCACAGTGTGGATTTTTACCACCTGAGTTGCGGGAAATTTTTCATTATCTTAAATAGCTTGAATAGCTAGTAGTATTTTCTTTTTACTTGATTTTGATTCCATAATGTGCGGTTGAGCGGCATGATGTCAGAGTAAAAGGAGAGGCGTCGGGTGGAAAATCCGCCGTTTGCTTATAAAATACATAGCAATACAATCCACTACTTAACTACAATGCTCAAGCTAATACCAAACTTCAACTCCATTGCAACACTACCAAATAAATGATACTACTATATAAATTCATCTTTAGACTCTGGTGATTCTCTATTTGTGCTGTATACTAACACCATCTATGTTTCCGTTGGGAGCCTATATGTCACCTAAACCCCCTTTCTAAAACGCGCATACTACCCCTTGTTCGTAACTTAGGGTAGTTTATCAAGGACTGACAGCATATAAAGGAAACACAGTTAAACATCCAGATAACAAATGAAATCAAAAGCAATATATCGTGCCAATCTACCCCCCTCTTCAAGCCAATCCGAAGACCGACACAATCCCATGGAATAACAAGCCCATTAACAGAACTGTCTGCCGTTCTGATCCTGCACCATGAAGCCAGACACGCCAAACCTGTCAGGGATCGTTCCAGCCGCGTCCAGGAAAGTCAACGGCGCGGGAGCTCCAGCCTGCGGGTTATTCGCAGCCTGCAACAGGTTGAAGCCCTTGCTGTTCGCCAAGTCGTACTTAAGCGTCACGTCAGTCGGCAGGTTGGGACTGCTGTACAGAGTGCACGACCGCTTGCCACCATCTTCCGGCATGAAGGTATGCTTCCACACCCAGTTCGTGCACTTATTGGGTTCCTCTAAACACTTGGCGGCGCAGTCGCAAGCGGTCTTGAAGCCGTCCTTAAAGAAGAAGTGTTGCTCTGTGACGACGCCTGTCATGTCGATACCCTGGTAGTACCGGACGCAGCCGCCGTCACGATTGGGAGCCTGAAGGTTGGGGAAGCGGTCCTTGGTGATCTTGCCCTTGCAGATCGCCCAGTCCGAGTAGCGGTCAAAGTCTGGGAAGATATCGCTGTTTGAGTTGTCGTATGAAGTGGAGTTTAGGGGAGCCGCGAAGGCAGCGGAGGCGAGGAGGGTAGAGAGGGCAGCGGTGGTGAAATGCATTTTATCGAGAGGCTTAAGCTGATGAGTGAAGGTAGATGTGATTGCGTTGATTTGTTTTGTTAAGCAAGTGATTGATAGTAGCGATGCTGGTGAGAATTGGGACTCTTGCTAGGACCTTGACGACCGTTATATACACTTTTGAGTCGACAGATAAGGACAGCTAGATTATTTTAATCTAAAGGATGTCACTTACACCTCTAGCAACAATATGACAACTAGAGCCCGGAGACCTCATGATCCGACTACATATGACCTGTGCGGCTGTGTCCTAGCCTATCAGAGGGCGAGGAGGACATTGAGAAGGGGCTTTAGCCATACTACTTAGCCCAGATTCTCGATAGACAAGACAGTTTTAACTAGGCCAGGCTTGTCCTGGAATAGCCTGTTGAGGCTCAACCCTTCTGCGGCTCGACCCTGCTGTTGACAGCCTGATGGCTTGGCAGCACACCCTTTCAATACTTGATAGGGCTCTAGCATCGACGTCGCTAAGTATTGAAAACTCTAAAAATAGCGACTGACGTTCTAGATCTCAAGCCACGGCGCCTTCTCGCAACGGGATTCAGACACGTCTACGTCAGCCCCGAATGATTTCGTCACTATGATTAGTCTACTTCGAGCAGCAACACAACAGTAGTGATCATGGCGACCCATTATTCTCTCTCAGTACTGGCACCCGAATTCTGCTTGAACTGGCGGTTCAGCAGCCCTACGAGATGTCAGACCACAGTTGTTCTACCTTCTCAACTGTCAATCCTTTCTTTTGGTCTAAGCCTGCCATAACGCTCTTGGCTGTAGTTTCCAAAGTTACTCCATAACTCGCACGGCCGCGCTGTCAACTAATATACGGCGGCCGATCGTCGTTCTCCCGGCTTTCCACCCACTGCCCGTGCTCGGTCGGCTAATCTTTCGAATGTCTCACATATCAATTGCAGCACGGGTTCGTCGACCTGAATAGGGGCTTTTATAGGGAGCAAGTCTTTCTTCGCCTTGAATTACCGCAAGTGGCCAGCCCATGTCATCCTCTCCACTCATGCGTTCAGCTCTTTCCTTTTATCAGTAACTTTGATATCCTCCTCTTCTGCCGTCCTGAATCTCTCAACTTGCTCTCAGTGAAGACTTTACGGTGGTGCAATAAATCGAATCGACTCAACCGCCGGCGACAGGAGCTGAAACCCATTCAATTCTGGCTAATCTCAATTGGGAAGCAAGCTTGGGTAACTTATGGATGCGATTGTTATATTAGAGTATATTAGGTGATCTTACAGACAGGCCGCGTCACGCGGTATGTACAATCAAACTGATACCTCGTGGTTTAGAGTTACTCTTACGGACCGAGGTAAGGATTCTCATTAAGCTATAAGCTGTATTAACAGGCTTACGTACTTATACCGGCCTGCGCTTAATGGGCTATATGTTTCTTCTTCCTGTACTATCCTTTTGATTTTCTTACAGAACGACGTTTTTTAATTCCACTTACTGTGGCAATGAAGTAACCAGGTGACTGCCATCTGACACCTTAGATAAACTCGCGACTTTCTCTACTCAGCCACTGACACTGCTGCTGCTTAGTCCTTCACAGCATGTAGCTTTCCCTCGTCAGCCTTGATAGGTGGAAAACCCAATGAAGGTTCACTATCCGGTTCATTCAGCCGGGCCAATGGTTTTCGAGGGAGTTCATTGATGTGATCTATCCTAGGCCAAACTCAATGATGAGAACCATGCCTTTCATTGAGCAGTATTTTCGGAAATGATAGCCAATACAGAATATCTTGCCGTTAGAGAATACCAAATAACCAAATCACGAGTCGTTATGTGTTACCCTAATGCCCCTAGGTATTTTTGGAACAGGGTCAGACGAGTAGTGCGGTGGCGCGTTGGAAAAGTAAATGACCTGCACAGAATATTGCACACTTGTAATAACTTGTATGCATCGAAACCTATCTGCTTGTCAAAAGCCACTAGTTTAAGTCTATATCTATACTAGATATTGTAAGGCTAAGTCTGACTGCGATTATACTTGGATTAGATGCGACTGCGGTTGCGCTTATGGCTGTGGCTGTGGTTGTTGCACGATGAGGGCTTAGCGGCGCCGCTGCCACAGGGCTATGTGGCACTGACCTACCATACCATGGCGCTAACTCGAGTGAGTTTCCTAACAGGAGCCACAGCTGTGATTGTGGCCGTAATCGCAGTTAGAGGCGCAGCTGATATGCAGTAGTAGAACCAACCTATAGAACGGAGCACGTCATCCCTCATAGGGCTGATGGCACCCATCTGCTGGACAAATCTTGCGAGAACAGGGCTGAGTGCCCTTAAGCTAAGATCGATCTTAGTCACAGAATCGGCCACTGTAGGGTGACATACAACTCAGTTCTTGATCGCAATCGGGCCCAACCTCACATCAGCTGCAATAATGCCCTGGGTCTAGAACCTGAGCAAAAACAATCTTAGCATTCCTGGCGGGTGAGATGGAGCTGATTCAGTCAATCGGCATCTTGATAGTGCCACTAGCAACATGAAGCTTGGCACGATGGGGCTATGCGGTTACGTTGAAACTAATCTTGAAGTTAACGATTCTGCTAGTCTTGGTCAATTTGCCTGATAAACGAGAGTATTAAAGCAGCTTGCCATCTCGAAGTGTTGCCCTCTCGTTCCTCCCTATGCATAAACATCAAAAGTCGATTACACAGCCAAGTCGGATATTTATCGTCGTCAGAACTCTCGTTCGCTATGTTACCACTTCTCTCTTTTCTGTTTCTGGGCATGCCGCTCGTGGTAGCTTCATCTTCCCCTGAGCCCTGTACTCTCATCACAAAACAGATTCGCGAACATCAAAAGTACAATAACTCCGCATCCGTTTTACAATTTCCTGGCCAACTCGCTGAGGATTGTCTCCAGTCCATGCCTTTCTACCCTGAACTTGCCGATCCCTTTCTCGACGAACTCGGTAAATACGTCCAATGGCAGTCCACTCTCGAGGTTCTCAAAAACCCTCCTGATATTTACATGTCCTCGCCTACCGATATACTGGGCGGCCTTGAGATAATCCGCAACACCAAATACTCAAGCCAGTGGGAGTTTGATCAGGCAATTAAAAGCCTTATTAATAGCGCCAATGATGGCCACTTCGATGTGGAACTATGCTCCTTCACTCCCTTCACTTTTATGCGCAACACGGCTTTGGTGTCTGTCTCGAAGGACGGCATCAAGGCACCTGAACTATACACGCTTACAGACGCCAAGCTTCTCAACAGAGCGGAAGCCAAAATCTCTCCCGTCGTGTCAATCGATGGCCGAGATGCTAGCTCGTACCTGAAGGAAATCGAAGATCAAGTGCTGAGCCAAGATCCTGATGCGCGATACAATACGCTTTTCTTTTCCTTCTCTGGCAATCCCGGTGGTGTTCTTGATGGACGTAATGTGTATCCTGGCTCTAATATCACTACGCTCGAGTTCCGCAATGGGACTACCCTTGAGGTGAAGAACATGGCCGAACTTAACGACCCTGGCTTTGAGGCTAGGAACGGCAAGGACGTCTTTGATATGTACTGTCGACCAACACCATCAAACTCATCAGACAACTCGAGTACTTCGGAACCGGTTGTTAAGCCTCCTCTGAAGTCAGGCCCCGTCGGTTACCCCGAACCACTGATCCGCGACCCCTACAACCAAATGAACGGTTATTATCTGGACGATGATACTGTAGTCATGATGATCCCTTCTTTTAATGGATATGGACTGCCCTCGAATCAATCGTTTACATTTGGCCATTACGCAACTAAGATTGTATCAAAGGCCTTGGCAGATGGCCGTACCAAGCTAATCATCGACGTCTCTGGCAACCCGGGTGGGAATGTTGACAGAGCCTTTAATCTATTCAAGCTGTTTTTCCCTTCCGAATTTCCCTATTCGGCCAACAGATTCCGACGCCACGAGGTCTCTGAGGGCCTCGTTAAGGTCTTTTCAGCCGTCAGCAGATCGACGGCGTTGGAGAATGCCCCTATTAATGTCGCCAAGATGGCATATTCCGTGGAGGTGACCCCAGACCAGGAGGCCGGCTTCGAGTAATATGAGGAATTTCTTGGCGATACCACGCAGTTGGGCACCCCGGTCAGCTCACTCTTCGCCAGCTTCAATTTCACCGAGGCATCTGGCAACAGCGACACTCCTATTCGTGGGTACGCTGGCCGACCCCTCAACAAGACGCAGCCATTCAAGGCGGAGAACATTGTCATCATTGGCGACGGATTGTGCGCTTCGACCTGCTCCATTTTTGTCAACTTGATGACAAATATCGGCGGCGTCCGGGCTTTGCCCTTTGGAGGGCATCCTAATGGACAGCCTATGCAGATCATGGGAGGTGTTCGGGGTTCGCAGACCTTGACATTCGACAATATTGCAACGGTGGTGAGCGCCGCCAAATCGGTATATCGGGAGACGCCTGAGAAGCTAGAGTTTATGACAAAGGAAGAAAACGAGCGATTCATGAAGGCGGCTACTCGGCCGTTAGAGGAGTTTCCGATTAAACTCGGATCAGGACAAGTCACTTCCTGAATGCCTACCAGGAGGGGGACGATGATCTCCCTCTTCAGTTCCAGTACCAGGCCAGTGACTGTCGTCTTTACTATACCGCTGAGAACATCTATCATCCGGAAACCATATGGAAGTCGGCCAAAGAGGCCATCTGGGGTAATGGGTCTTGTGTCAAGGGCTCGACCGGCGGCACAGGTTCCCTTGAGGGCAGGAAGAAGGGCAAGAAGAACGAGTCGGAGGGTGGTTAGGAGGGCAAGCTTACCCGCCGCTTTTTTAACATTGGGCTAGAAATGCAAGAATCTTACAGGGTAAGAAGCAAAGAACCAATCAGGCTATGAAGCGCCCGCTCTGTGACTGAAAGTGGAGCTGCGGCTGATACATTGTCCTCTTGCAAGTGGAAGAGGACAATGTAACAGGGGTAATGGCCCAATCAAGACGCGGAAAAGTCCTCTTGCACTTGAATCTGGAGCTGGAATAATGATGTAGTGCTAAGATCTGGGAATTTTCAGCCAATCAGCAACTCGGCTCAACTCCAAACGATATTACTCCAAGATGACAGCTGGGTTACCCAATTTGTTAGACGATTTGAATAGAATAGCCTGCGAATAACAGCCAGGGTGAAATAAATCTATTCTACTACAATTGATTTTGGTATATAGAACTAGGGATAAGGCGTCTAGATCTAGAAAGTTCAACGAGTATAGGAGGGGCTTAAGGCCATGCCAAGCAGATCTAGCAATGCCATGCTTTTTGCCTGGATGCTCTGATATATGTTTAAGACTCGGAGCAAAACTGCATTTGGTATATATAATAGCTGCTTCTGGCAAATTACAATAAAGGCTGAGACTCTCGAGCTTCTGTAGCTTTGCTAGAGGTAAAGTGGGATGGCAATGTTGTTCATGAACAGAGGAGCGGGCCATTATGACTAAGCATATATAAATATAATAGACAGGGCAGAATGGCGGAGATGGAGTAGATATTATACGAAGATGATAAAAACATGAGTTTCAGTAGACGATGCTAATGAACGTTGTTTAGGTCTGGAGTAGTCAAGTTGTTGAACTCGACAAGGGTCAGCCCACGGAAAGGCGACGCGTTTCGTGTTTTAGGTTTTCTAATTTCATTAGTGCGGTACGAGAAACGCAGTGCATTTCCATCGGGGAAAATATGGGGCGAAAGTTCTAGACGATGATTGGTCAAAAACAGGAAACGCAATGCGTTTCTGCTGATAATTCTTGAGTAGGATGAGAAAAGACTAGCTTGCCTCGATGGCTTGTTACTGAGGCGGTGGGGCATTCCAAAACCAACCAACGTGCACTGATAAAAACAGATGTAATTTCATGAAAGGAATGATGACAGGGGCTTGGTGCACGGACGAAAAGTGTGTAGTCTATTAACTTACAAGCAGTCCTTGGTACAGCAGGGAGGTAGTGACAATAAATACTGATACAGGGCTTTTTCGGGTCTTGTAATTGGAATGAGTACAATTTAAATCCCTTAGCGAGGAACAATTGGAGGGCAAGTTCTGGTGCCAGCAGCCGCGGTAATTCCAGCTCCAATAGCGTGTATTAAAGTTGTGGTTAAAAAGCTCGTAGTTGAACCTTGGGCCTTTCTGGCCAGTCCATTCCCTCTGGTTGCACCGCCGTTTTTCAGCCGCAAATTCCAAGAGGCAGCCACCAATTCCGGCTATCCTCCTCGTTTCCCCTTATCTCTGTGACGTATCACGTTTAACCCCTAGACTTTTACCTTGGTTAACTCACATGGTCCAATCAAATACGCGGAGCCTACCCATTACTGATATTCCAAGGAAAGCTTTCTGCGGTACATGTCCAATCGGAGCCCTGTCATGGCAGGACCCTTTACCCCTCCCTATTTTTTGTATTTCCACGCTAAGCCCTGGCTTCCTGTCACCAAGCTTTGATTCGAATCACTTCACATGATCATAATGCGCTGTAGCTCTTTCTGCCATTTTCAGCACCAGAAGGAGGATATTGTCTGGTCCATTTGAAGCCGGATGCATTTGAACCGAGATTGGGGCGATTTGTTCAATTCTTTTCCTTCTTCTTTTCCAACACCCATGGCTTTGGTCTGTCTGGTTGCAGTTAGCCATCCGTCGGCCCAAGCTCATTCCATGCCAGGGTATTTGCTTTTTTCCACATGGCTTGAACTCCAATTCTCTCTTTTTTCCCCAGATTTTTCCGATTACCGTATCCGTACCCCCGAGACCTGCTTGTTCCCTTGCTTGAACAACCCCCACCTCCCCCCACCTTTTCTTGTGCCCTTATTATTTATAACCCTTTGCTCTCCGTTCGCATTGAACCCTACTGTGTCCAAGCTCCCTTCCTAGCATAATCCAAACCCCTTCCAGTTCAACGGTCGAGGTTCATACCAAAGTGCTTCCAGTCTTGGGCTCTAGTCATTCAACATTGGATTAAGCTGACTTAGACATATCAACAGCTACAACGCCGCAGAGATGGGTACCGTCTACGCTGCCTACAAACAAGACCCTCTGGGTGACGATATGCAAACCTACGATACCTACGCACCCGCGCCTGATGTGAATTCCATGAGTCAAAACCCTTCAGGCATGAATATTTATGGTGCGCTACCTCAATTCCATTGGGGACAATGGTGGTCTCCTACTGAAGATGCTTCCTTTGCCGAATCAACCAACATGACCACCCCCAATGTCTTCGCACAAGAAGAGTCCCGATACAACTACACCTACGATCCTGAAACCTCTACACAATGGGACTCTCCTGCTACCTCCACCCAAAGCTATCCTGTTCCGTCACCGGCCACCGACCCTACCAGCTTAGATATTCCCGTTGGCGACACAGAGAGCCGTCGCGGTTCCTCATCAACAGGGTCCGAGAAGCGAAAGCGCAAGCAAAAAACTGCCAAGCCAACCGCTTCCAGGTCGACGAGACGCGCGCCAACAAAGTCAATCAAACAAGACGCTGCCCCCGAAAAGCCCAAGGGTCGCGGAAGCCAAGCCAAGCCAGTTTTTCAGCCTACAGAACGGTCTTCTCCCCAGTTAGGTGACGAACTCGACGAGTACAGCAAAAAGATACAGGAGAGAAATCGAGTCGCCTCCAACAAGTTCCGTATCAAGAAGCGTGAGGACGCGAAGAGGCTCCAGGCCGACGAGGAGAACATGGAGCAGACCAACCGCAAGCTGTCGAGCTCTGTATCTGACCTCACTCAACAGGTCTACGAGCTCAAGGTGAAACTCTTGCAACACACCGACTGCGACTGTTACTTGATTCAGGAATACATCGCCAACGAAGCCAATCGGTACATTTGCGACTTGGGCGGCGATAAAGAAGCAGCAGACAACTGCGCCTCGTCCTCCTCGCCATTTACATCACTACCAATAGTATTCTCAACAAAAGCGAATCACTATGTATGACTAGGATACTGGAAACGATGACTCCGAACCCAAACATCACGATCCGATACGACACGACCATGACCTGAAGGTCGATACACTGAAAGGCCTCTTTGCAGATCCTGGGGGGTGAGGGATGGATAGAAGAGGCACTTTTAAAAAGTAGCGATATCTGCATTTAACTTTATGACCTTATTCTAATTTCCTTTTTGGTTCTCGGTGATTTGAGACGGTATCACGACAAAAAAGGCTTTGGCAGGCTACTTTGTATAAAAGCTCTTAGGCTTAAACCTATCTCAGAAAATAGCATCGAACCTAGCCCTCAGGCTGTGTGTCATAATGCCGTATACAACATAATCCAATGCTGACAAACATGTAACAAAACAAATCGGGTATGATGAAGACCAACTCCCGTTACTGCGTGGATTTTAAAGCCACAAACTCCAGAGCAAAAGACTTGTCAGTGCCCAGACACCACGGCCAGCTAACTCTGGTAGTAGTCGATTCCCGCTTCAACACCAGGATCTTGCGGATGAATCTTCTCGTTTGTACCAGGTCGCAAACGTTACAAAGTAATCCAGTACCTGAAGAAGTACCTCGCCAGCGAGGTGTTTCTGTCACGCCGCATAAGTGACACCACGTGACTGGCTCGGCACCATCTGCTATAGAGAATCATAACTTCATCACGCGACATAAAGAGCTTAAGAAGCGTTTTTTTCGTAAATATGACTATCAGAGAGCCAAATGCAAATATCCAACTATTATTTGCGATTGGTTTACACTTATAGCGAATACAATTGCGAAGTACGGCATTCGATCAGATGATATCTGGAACTTTGACGAGACTGGCTTCCTTATAGGCATGATTGCAAGCGGAATGGTTGTCACAGGCACAGACAGGCGTGGACGACCTAAATCAGTGCAGCCTGGAAACCGGAAATAGATTACGGTCATTCAGGCGATTAATGCGGCAGGCTGGGCGGTCCAGCCGTTTATCATCGGTGCGGGCCAATATCACCTCGCCAACTGGTACCGAGAAAGCAACCTCCCGGGCGATTGGGCTATTACAACAACCCAAAATGGCTGGACCGATAATAAGACCGGTTTAGAGTGGCTAAAGCACTTTGACCGGTGTACGACCAATCGATCAACTGGTTCCTATCGTCTCTTAATCCTTGATGGGCATGAAAGCCACCACTCGATCGACTTCGAGAGATATTGCGAGGAAAATAAGATCATTAGGCTTTGTATGCCGCCTCATTCGTCTCATCTACTTCAGCCCCTTGACGTCGGGTGCTTTAGCGTGCTTAAGAATGCTTACGGTCGAGAAATAGAGCATTTGATCAGATGCTCTATAACACACGTTTCGAAGACTGAGTTCTTTCCGGCCTTTTATGCCGCATTTCAAGCCACTATGACAGAAAGAAATATCAAGCCGGCCTTTAGAGGAGCTGGGCTTGTTCCTCTTAATGCGGAAAATGTGGTCTCAAAGTTTGATATGCAGCAACGGACTCCAACGCCAGTTGAGGAGGTGGCTAGCCCGTCAACACCTTGGGTCTCAAAGACTCCAAAGACCGTGCTTGAGGCTGGGTCTCAGTCTGAATATATTGAAAGACGAATTAGAAGGCATCAGAACAGCTCCCCAGAGTCAATCCTAGGCGCTCTGAAGTCTCTTTCCAAGGGAACAAAGGCAGTTATGCATGAGGTTACCTTATTACGGGGTCAGGTCCAAGACCTTCCACAGGCAAATGAGGTATTAAGCCGGCGCCGGAGGGCAAGAAGGACCCGACTGCAGAAAAGAGGGGTAATGACAGTAGAGGAAGGAAGGCAAGTAATTGATCAGATAGATGTTGATGCGCAGGTAGTGGCCGAATCATCGAGAGGTGGTAGCCAAGGAAGGTCGGCGCGACCAGGGGTTCGGCATTGTGGTATATGCGGTAAGCCTGGTCATAATGCAAGAACCTGTTAGGTAATAATTGAGACATCTGGGGAAGAGTATAGTGAGTAGTTTTAATTAATTTGTTGTGTTTTTATTCCGATTTCTAGTTTAGAGGTTGAGAAAAGTGACCATTTCGCTTGTCTGACCATTTCGCTTATCATGTACGTTAGTAAAGTTCTAGTCCCCTGAGCGTCTAAACTTAACTTGGCGTGATGTTTTGCTGATAAAGGCGGTTTTTTTAAAGGTACTTAAGTAGACATACTGAGAAGGTGAAATATTCAGAGAAGAGAAATACTATAAACCCAATTGCTAAACCATTGAATATAAGTACAAGACGCGACAGTCAAGGAGAGATTAGACTTGAAGTCAAATCAACTAATTATTTTAGTTACCTATGATTGGCTCTTGCCCACAAGCAATGAACTCAGCAAGGATGGCACGGATCACCGTGTTATGAAACGGGCCCCGTTCCGCGTTTTTGTAAACGACCTGGACAGTAACGGGGCCCGTTACTATCTGGTATTCTAGAGTAGAATGTTCAACGCGGTCTAACAGACATCGTCGTCAGATAAGTGTGAGAACTTATGGAAATATAAGTAAGGCAAGTCTTAAGGTCCTATTATATAGTTTTATATTATGCTAAGAAGTTTTATATCTTATTCAGTATCTAGTTTGAGTCGGTTAGTATACAATAGTGTCAGATAAGTGTGAGAATGAAGAATAAGTGGGGTTAAGATGATCTTGCCTATATTTAGAAGAACCTCGACGCGTGCACGGGCCAGATTCTGTGTAATTCGGCACATTACAACGAGCCGCCCTTGTTACAGTAGTAGTGGTTGTAGCCTAGTAATCATTTCTGCCTGAGACATTAACGTGGCGTTGCTGCGTCAAAGAGGGGTACTCCATCAAAACAAACAACAGACGCAAGACAAGCACAATTCAACATAACCAGCAATTATACAGTAAAATGCCGGATTCACGAGTTTTCGCATGGATCAAACAATTACCTGAATCATTTGAATATCTACCAGTGCAATTACAATCATCATCGCAGCCCAAGCCCTGTAATAAACGCAAAGCCTTCCAACCGCCAAGTCCTCCACCAACTATCTCCAACGATATGGACGAGACGCCAACTGGCCGGAAACGACCACGGCTAGACCCTGCTGACCCTTATAAAACGCCTATTGGGAGACCTCGAGATGAGACAGCCCCCAGGCGCAACCCGTCAAAGGCGTCGTCAATGTCGGGTTCCAGCGCCTCATCCTATCCATCGCGCTCATCATCGCCATTGAAGCAGCAGATCATGCGTCTACGCATTGACGATACAGGTTTCGACATACGCGATCTCAAAGTTGACAATCCTCCAAGCCCAGAGGTTGACCATCTTTTGCAGAACTTGAACGATATCGGGAGTGGCCTTGAGTTTCTCCCTGATAATCTGCGTGATGAGATTCTTGGAAGCCCCATGTTGTAAGGCAAAGACACACACCCTTGGAGGTTCTCTTTCAAAAGTGCTAGTGACTTTGGGCATCTTCCAGGACGTATCCCTTCTCCACAAGAAGTGTCGCTGGTGTATGAATGCGCCAAAGACTGTCGCGACTTTGGGCATGAAGAAGCAGGTTGGAATGCAGAAGTACACCAGCGTCTGCTAGAAGCTGTCTTTAGAGAGCCTGGAAAGACGAGAGGAGGACTGTACAACTTTACAATGTCGTAAGTATCCATCAACCGACTCGTCAAACCCATGCTAACTCATGCCTCGTAGCACCACTGCTCGGCCGCATTCAATGTGGCTACCCAAGTCAATCAGAACCAAAATGATTGACTTTTGTATATATGTCGACTTACAACAAGAGGAGCCAGAGTCCTTTCAAGCGCTCGAGTCTCTTTGCAGAACAACACCTACCACCACGGTCAATCATACCGACTTCGAGCGACTGCAGTTTCGTCCCATTGTCCTGAGTATTGAGACTAAGGGCCCAGCTCCAAGACTAGACACTGCAGAGGTCCAAATGGGGGTATGGCATGCAGCGCAGTGGATATTCCTCCGTTCAACAGTGCTTGCGTCATTACACAGCTCGGAAGAAGCAGAAAAACAGGCTGACGAGATACTATCCCGGTTACCATTCATCCCTGGTGTTATCGTTCAGGGTCATCGGTGGTATTTTGTTCTGTCGACATGGCACGGCTCAAGGACTACTTTTTGGGCTGAACGACTGTTCGGAAGCACCCAAAGTTACAAGGAACTATATCAGGTTATAGCAGGGCTAAGGCACTTGACTTCTTGGGTAGACAAGTTCTACTTGCCCTGGTTTCGAGCACATATCTTGCCCAAGGAAACTTTTGCTAGTGGATGAAGCTGTCTCATCTACCTGCTCTTGTACTACTCTCACGGCTTTGTGATGGGTCTCACAAAACTTTAACAGCATGACTTTTTTGTCGTCACCAATTGTGAACGACCGGCCGTCAGGAGCCCAAGTTAGGTTGCCTGGAACTCCTTCTCGTTTTACGATAGATTTCCCAAATGCCTTCAGTTCTATTAACTCTCCGAATGGTATATAGCAACCCCGTAGAAGATATTTGCAACGGATGGACGAAATGCGACCGGGTTGTGACGGATAAGCTGTCCGACAAGGCCAAGCCAAGTCAAGACTATTGTAGGCATAAACGGGGACGGCGTACTCGAAGAACAGAAGCCTCCTAATCCACATGAGGGCAGCTAGTCTAGGTGATGAACCATGGGCTGAATGAAAAGCAAGGGACGGTCTCTGGATTCTTAAGAAGGCTGTATAGTGAATAATGGCATATGCAGACATATCTCCGGTAGGTTCCTGGTACGTCCAGAACATCATCGAAAGTTGAAAAATGGCCTTAGATAAGTGCAGCTAAAGACCAGACGGAAGAGAAAACGCCGAATCTGAAGTTAACGCATCTTCACCATCATTTAAATCGCAATAATTGATCTTTTTCGTTGAAATGATTCTCAGTCTTGACTCCGTCGTACTCGCTGATATACTCCTCATCATCTCTGTCACCATCGGCATCTTCATCTTCATCTTCATCTTCATCTTCATCTTCATCTTCATCATTACAGTCACTGGAATTATCCGCTTCTTCCTCAAGTGCTTCGTCCAGATTCCAGTTAGAGAATTCAGCCTCGCGCTATAAAAGAGCAACCAGATACAATATATGACGCATCATGATGGTTTCATCGCGTCCGAGTTATAAGTTATAGATCTCTTGCTGCTGATGTGTTTTAAAATGTAGAACCCTAAACACATAACAAATGAACCATTTCCATATATCAACATATCGTCTCAGGCAATCTACAAATTTGAATTCGCAGGGCCAAAAGCTGTCTTTCCAATACGTATTCAGCCAGCATGGAGATCTATATAAAGTCTTCACTAGCGTGAACCTGGCTCGATCCACTATGAGGTCGACACCACGGAGAATAACTCATAGCTGAGCTTCTACGGTGGCTGGGCTTCGGAGTGCTGTATCGTGCCACTGGCCCAACAGATAATCTTCGCTCCATGCTGGTTTGGGCTTTTTTTGCTGTAGCCGCACTGATGCCAAGCGGACGATTATGGAATAGGCGAGGCCATCCTGTATGCTGCGCCATGGCGTTGTTTCATTCCGTTCGACGTCCTGATCATCAGGCTGATGGTCATGGTGCTTTGGAGGCCACATGTTTGAAGATAGTCAGGGTCGCCAGAGTAGTCAATGCATCATGGTAAAAGTGGACGACTGACAAGAATAAGAATCAATCGAGGAGGGCGAAATCTTTGTTGCATATATACTGGCGTCAGTAGAGCCCTTGCTATATTTCTACGGCGCGGTCACGAAACACGCGCGGTCAAGATATCGATTTGCACGTAGGCGCCCATGAGGTAGTATCGGTCTGCGCCACAAAAGTAAAGCTAGCTGCGCAGGTTGCGTCGAAGGAACAAACTAGCCAATGAGAAGGTTTATCACGCACTTTTAATCAAAAACTCTGCTGGGACCTCTCAAAACACTGTCCCTCTTTCAGTGAAAGAGGATTTTACAAGGGTATGAGCCAATGAGAGGTGGTGAATTTCCCCTTTCGCTGAAATTGGGACTGACAATAGGGATGTAGCAACTACCGATGATTGAGAATGAGGAATGGGATTGGGATTAAGAAACAAATCCGCTACCAAAAGAGGGGCGTTATGATGATCAAAGCTTGGCTTCATAGGGCCGTCATATATAACATGGGTTCGAAAGATGGAATCCATTGGTTTGTTCTAGCTTTCATTATCAGGGAGGGGGAGAAAGAAAGAGGGATTGTAGTTAGTTCTTTGACAGTGAAAGTATGTCACGTCCTCGTCATAGTGACTGGGTAAGGTATTTTCATTACATCAACTTGGTATCAATATTGATAGAGTCCCAAATCTAGTGCTGTCTGCAAGCTTCATCTTATTATTTTTATTTTTATTTTTTATTTTCCGGCCATGCTAATCTTGGGATTTTGTGTGGTGAGCGTAAATAGATCGGCAGTCTGTTAAAGGTGGGGGCAGTCGAGCTGGATGGCCATGCCATTGGGCCTAGAGTAATACACCCAGACAGAGAGCTGAATTTTGATGGCGCCTCACTCACTCTCTAAATCTGTTCAAAGTTACGTTCTTACGGATGAAACGCCTAGAAAGGGGTCCGCTAGGGCTTCCTATCTCGACAATCTTGACTCCAAGCTCTGCAGCAAGAGTATCGTAGAAGTGGCGTCTAGGCGCTTCGTGCACTTAGCGATATTCAAAGCTCAGTCTTATTATTATCGCTCATTTACAACACCCACGAAGAGCTTTACGGCTTAATATTATATCCCGCTGCTCTTCCGATCTCGAACGAGAATACGAATATCTTCTGCGAGTCTGGTTCTCAGTTATGATGAAGGGTTCCGCCTTACTCGAAAGTACATTCCCGCCTGGCCTGTACCTTCATGCCTGTCTCTTAGGGCGAAGTCCCCTGCAGTAGTAGGTCTGAGGCCTTGGCCATCTGTAAGACTCCGATAGGATTACTATTCTTCCGTATGCAGTTGAAGATCTCTTGTGCCTCTTCAGTTGACCGTGAGTGTATCAGGGCGTATAGCTCGCGTAGCTGTTCCAACTCGGTGATCACTTCGCTATTGCGACTCTCCAGGGCTGATATCTTCTTTTCCTTCTCATCGGTGCGGTAGATGTAAACTGTGGTGGTTTCAATGCAGCGCTGACACATAGGCCTACCGCCAGTACACTGCACTGGTTTTAGTTGCATGGTTCCTGAATAGAATCAATAACCAAGTTAAGGGAGGTCTTACTCGCGTCTTCTTCTTTCGACAGGATTCACAAGCCGCGTGAGTTCCTGCTCGGGGAATCTAGGTTATGCCTGAAAGCGAAGATTGAGACTGAAAGGTGGAGGCATCTTCTATTGAACACGATGCTGGTGTAGTATTGGGAAGCAGTGGCCGGTATTTACTCGACATAAGAAGCCTGGCGGGATTGCAGGCATGCTAAGGGTTTCCCCGTGGCGAGGGGGATATTATAAGTGATCCTGATTTGATTTCGCCCCGTAAAGTAAAGTAGCGCTGCCGCCTGAGGAGAAATCGTGTTTTGTCTAGGAGAGAGAGACTGTTAGAGAGAGGCGATGTTAACAAAGACTACGTGACTGGAACGGTGGAGGTCACCCTCCGATTTTACTTTCAGTCCTCGTCTCCTGTTGCTTTTTATCTCGCAGATGGGCGAATCATGGGCTGCAGGAGGGTTAAATAATCTGACATATGGTTTTTACGTCATATAAACATCAGAGATGAGCCTAGGCCTCTTCAATGAGAAGACAAGTTCGGAACTCCTGAGGATCGCTCAATCCAAATGTGGTCACCGCTAACATTGTTCCAAGTGCATCGTATTCTGTAACACGGCAACGTTGTGTGTGTTTCTTAATTTTATCCAAGTTTACCGTCGGCAACTTGGTTCGGCGATGCCCCGAATGAATGACAAGATTTCTTTTGCATCTGTCATACCTATTGGCTTTATGTGGTGCCAAAGCCCCAGTAATTTTGGAGGTTTTAGAGGTGGAAAAATCAACCATAGCCGGGAATAGCATTATCCCACCTATTATTACCGCAAAGACATGAATTTTTTACTATGCCCTATGTATCATTGGCATCACGTTTATATCGAAGAAGATAAGCGGTAAATAGAATAGTAGCCACACAGGATATTAAATAATTTTGAGGGTAAGTTTGTCCTTAGAATATTCGTGCTGCGACTATATTTCCCTCTGGAAAATCATGAGTTGTTCAGGAACTCCTGGCAACTGTTATTATATTCGCTCTCTTCTGCTCCAGCACTAGCAGCAGAACTATAATTATCCCATTAGACGATGCCTGTAGTGGTTTTCTTGTTCGGTGTAGCAGCGGCCTCCCGAATGCGGTTAAGCAAGATCCTCGCCGCAGTTTCTTGATTAACACGATACAGGTTCTAGTCTAGAGACAATTCGTCTGGAACTTCACCAGCATCGACGCCCTTAGAGTAGCTATCGGAATGGCATGAGTTCGTCCATCAGCTCATATGCTCCTCTGTCGACCCAATATTATCTGCATCTATAGATAGGTCATCATCTTCGCCGGACGTGGAATTATCGGTGCTAAACGGCGGGAAAAACCTGGCAGGGGATGGCAGTGGAACTGGTATCAGTCTCTCGATGCGCCATGACAGATACTCAATCCCGATAGACGGTGATTCTTCGATTGTTTTTGCTTCTGAACCGCCGGGGGCGGGACAAGAAGTTAATATCGCTGCCCGTCGATGAATGATCCCCTCTATGCTTTCATTCGACCTCCCACTCTGAGGCTCGGAAGACCATGGGAGGATATCTTGCTTGGGCCGCTTCGTATCGACCACTACCATAAAGTGATCATCGGGGAGAACACCACCAAGTCCGCAGGGTTCCAAGGGCTGTTGCCCCATGTACTGCTGATCGTCGTTCCAAATCAAATCCAGCTCGATATCGCTGCTTTGTTCACTGTCATCGTTTATCAGGTCCTGAACTTCATTATTATCCTCGCCCATGGCTGGTGTCTGCCGACGCAGGTCTTGGCATCGATCCGTCAACGGCCTGTAGCCGATGAAGGACCCGGATGTTTGTTCGTCGAGGAGACCGAGCGAATTCTGATGGTTGCTGAGAATCCTTTCTAGTTTGGGCGCTTGAGGGCGTGCGAGTGGTTGGTGATGGAGCTTCTGGATCACCCGTCAAATCAATGCAGAAAGGTGCACCGCTATAGTATGTGATAGCACCTTCGTGGCGTTGCCATTTGCCAACCGACCCTGCGGAGTATTTCAAGCCCAAGTCCGACTCGCCAGGATTTTCGTCGTCCACGACTATAGGAGAGCCAACTGACACACCCCGTGAAGTGTGCCCATCTGACGAATCCTGCTGAGCAAACAATGGCTTGTAGCGGAAACTTTCAACTCGAGCGCAAAGCTGTGGATCAAATGCAGGCATATCCTTACTTGAGCCGCAGGACTGGGATTCATTGCTAATAAATGGGCTAGTCTTTTCACATTTACGTTTCTTTTCCAAACCCTGGATATCGTCGAAAGAAGGACTTTCTTGCGAGTCGTAGCCAGAGCTGTGGCTACTGAACTTGGTATCTTTGAATCCGCCTCGCCATCGAATTTTATGCCCGTCAGGGGATAGTTGAAATCTGGTGCTGATTCCGGATACGGCGGAGCGAACGAAGTCTGGTGTCACATTGATCAAGTGGAGCTGGGCCAAGTTGTACAGCAGGTTCAAGGACACCCAGCCTTCAGCGTCTAGGTGGACGTCCTGGATACTCTGCTGTCCAGGCAATAACTCGGGCAGCAGTAGGTCCAAATGCCGGATGTAGTTCATATTCTCAGACGGAATCTGAGCACGATTGGGGTCCAAATCACAAGGTCGCGTTGGTCGCTGTTTTGGCAGAAGCGGGAGTGGGGGAAACGGCTTGGTACCAGAGACCAAGCCTTTATCATTGCCTCCGGTCTCCATGTTGTCATTATTGGGATCAGAAGCCGACCCACGGTCACTTGAATGACACTTGTTTCCCCAAGTGCGAGATCGTTGTTCTAGAGGGAGGATTCTGGCTTCCCGGATAGGCTCAGTTACACGAGTGGGAGGTTCGTGGGCAGATGATGGGTCCGCCACCTGTGCGTCTGCTACAACGCGCGCCATGATGAAGCTGCCACCCGGCCGCATAAGCGGAATCTTCGAGATATCGGCACCGTTACTTCTGCCTGTGAAGAGCTGTTCGAGACGACGAACAACGAGACTCTTCCGGTCCTTGTCTGTCATGATTACGTGTCGTGGGTACAGGCCGTCGGGAACATCTCGTAGATGATCCTCGACCTTGCCCTTTGATGATTGGGTTGAAGTCAAGATGGGGAGGTTAAAAGAGGTGCTTGAAGACTCGGCACCAGCCGACATGGAGGCATAAGCGGAGTCAGCTAGCCGGAGGCTGGAACCTGGAGAGGAAGGAGCACGTTTGCGCTGAATACCAGATTTGGAGTATATGTGATCGCGGTTGTGGGGGGATATCTTTGTCCTTTTTTGCAATGATGACACCTCTGGAGACCCATCGAGATCGGTGGTAAGGCCTCTCAGTATGGCTTCGAGTTCTCTCTTTTTCTTTTGGGGCAGCCCATGAACCTTGATCTCAAACAGCTTGTCTTTATGGAGCAGGGCCGGACCCGGTTGCTTATAGCGCTTGAGTTCCTTCCTAAGCTGTTGAATCTCGAGTGTTAAGTCGTCGATGACGCTGCGGTAGTCATCAACGCTACTGCTGTGCGCCGTGATGGGTATAGGAGGGGCGGCCTGGTATTGAGTATGCAAGTCTGGCTTCTCCGGATTCCATAAATCAGATTCTTTCCGGTAAAAGGGGACATTAACTAGAGCTTCATATCAGTTTCTTCTACTCTACTATGAGTCGGCTAGAGGTAGTGCATACCGTCTATGGCATCGTTGTTGGCCGTCGCGTTATGGCTCGAGTCATTATGCCACTCTAGTGGGTCGCTTGGCCCCGTCTCATGACTGCCGGTGAGGGAATTGAGATGGAGAGAATAATCGGTTAGTGGTGGCGGGGTTCTATGTGAACTATTTGGATTTGAAGGCATCTTAGCCGCGTAAGCATATGAGACGTGGAGCAAGACCCTAATAGGACTGCTTAATTATCGACGTCGCAGGAATTCCGAGTATGCTCATCGTCAGGCTACATAGTAAGATTTCCACGGTTCGACGACCATGTAATACGGTCGGGAGATGTCTAGCAACAATCGTCCGAGCCTGGCTTCCCAGTAATGGAAACAGAGCTCGAGTCGCCGCGAGGTTATCCAGTAAGAGATGTGTTTGACTGCGATGCGTCCTCAAAAGCTTGGCTAATTTAGTAGTCGATGAATTCGAATAGGTAAATAGCGTCGCGTGGAATGCTTCTCTGCAATTTGCCAAGTCAATCGTCCCGCCCAGAGGTCGCCAAAGCTGCTGCGGAGACAGCGGAAGGGTTCATGTACCTGGGCGTTGAATTCAGATAGTCGTATGGTGGCGATTAATGATAAAAACGGCCGCGACGCTCGGTCGGAGGATCGTGCGTTGTGCCTTGAAGAACGTACGAGTACAGGAAGGATGTGAGGTCGAGGGGGCATGCCGAACATTGCCAGAAGCAGCGACGGAGTAGGTCACTTGCCAGTGTAGACGTACTAACTGGTGGAGGTGTGGAGTAAAAGTGGAGGGCACTGGGGATCCAAGAGCCCGGGTCCGCGGGGGAAAGTCCAGAGACAGGACAGGACGTGCTGGAGATGTTCTTTTGGTTGAATGGTATACTTACTTAATTGATGAAGCTGGGCGTTGAATGAGTTACTGGAGGATGAACCCAAAAGAAATATTGGGAGACAATCACTGTTAACAAACGCCGGAGGCTGTGGCGAGGGGAAAAACGGGAATTTTGCGGGCAGTTTAGCAATGCTGCGGTGCATTGCAAAATGTTCACAGGGAATATCGTAGCGCTCCGCGAGCCAATAAGTCTGTGTACTTTCAATCAGTGATAGCAAAAACACCAAGAGACCTGCTCTGCTGTCGAAGCAGTCCTCCTTGGCCTGCAAAATCATCATTTTTCTTTAGCCTCCAACGCTGCAGACGCCATGGACTGTTCGGGTATGGACGGCGAGTAACTAAAGCTGCCCCGTCCAGCTCCAGCACTTGCTGCTCCTCATTGGGGCCTGCCCTCCCTCTATGCTCCAGTCCGGTCACGATATGGGGACATAACCAATTAAAATGCAAAAAACACGAGGTACTTTTATCACCGCCTGATTTATGCAAGTACCAACAGTTCTGATCGTTACAAATCGTTAAATCACAAATCGCATAACCGTACCTAGCCTGCTTTGCCCTGTGCCCGCAGCTTACATCACCGCTGATTTCACTGAGAGCGTGCCGTTTTGACCCTTTTGACCTTATTTGCCCTTGTCGGAAGCCCAAACAGGCTAGACACCAGTTGAAGCTCCAGGCAATCATGGGGGTACGGCGCCGCAGCCTGGTGTGTGTGCACGTGGAGCTGTCGTAGCGTTGAAGTTGCGTTCTGTACCTATCAAGGGGGTCTGAGCTCAACTCCGTTGTCTTGAAGACTCCTCTCGCATAAAACGGTGGGGCATCTCATCTGTCAAGACGCCAAAGGTCGCTTGATTACCGTGTTCACATTTATAAATCTGTATTTTTGTCAGTGGCTTTGATGTAATTTCTGGGTCCAAGCTTTCAACAGGCATCACCTCCCTTTTCTTCGATTCACGCAACGCTTTGGGTTCCTGAGGGATGTTGGGGACATATTGTAAGCGACATACGGCAGATAATGTTAACCCTTCGGCAAATGGTGATTGCCGATCGAGATTGACGGGGACCCAAGCTTGATCAGCTATCGCCTCCTCTAGCTAAATATCTATCAATTTTGAACATGTGTTGCCTCCTCTCATCCGAAGATACCTAGCTGATTCTTTCTGAAAATTGGTCCCGTCAATTCGACATTGCACCGCAGGCACAGTACACTAAAGAACCGCTGCTTAACTGAGACGTGCCCAAACCATAACTATCATGCACAGTGCGTGCAATGCCAGCATCGTTCAATGCTCTGCTTCGCAGGACAGCAACCTTCCGTCTTCGGCTTTTGGTCCATATCTCCAGCCGCCTCTGAAATCCACGCGAACAACACAAGACATGTCCTTTGGAAGGAATGCAGGGCAAGTATTGTGGCCCATTAAAAGGAGGAAATACAGAATAGAAACCGGCTAGATTCGTAATATTTCCTCAAGCAAACTGCTCAGTGGACAGTATTCTATGAACTGAATCTCAGTCATTAATTTCTCGCGCTCCCTGGAGCGTCCAACTTAGGGAGTACTAGAACATAGCTGCTAGGGACTGAAATTAGGTGCAGTGATAATTCTGCAGTGGAGGATTCGAGCAGAACTGCCATTTTGTCCATGGTGTACTGGGACAAGAGCGAATAATTTTGCAGTGTCGTTGGATATTGTGAGAACTGTGAAGTAGATAAAGGTCGAGTGAAGTAAGCCATGGCTGAGAAGATAATGTATTTTATCTTAACCTGGCTCACAGCATTGTGTTTAACATAGGCCATACCGCATCTTATCTCTTTGAGCGGCACGAGGCATCCACGATGTCACGACAGGGGTGGGGGCCAATCAAAATGACCGTGACGGCTGGTACCTCCGCCTACACCTAAATTAGCGTGTGATAGAAGTACCAACAGTCAGCATTGTTACAAATCGCTACATCACACACTTTGCATCCGTACCTAGTCTGTGGACCTCGCGCATTTCCTGATATAGGCTGTAGATAGCCTCCTTTTTCCTTCCTTTTTTTCGAGGGTCGGGTCTGCCCTTGCCGAAAGCCCTTACAAGCTAGGCACGAGGAAGACCTATCTCTTCCTCGATAGACATAATTGATATCTCTTTGTAGGTGATTTTGCCGGGCTTCTTAATCGTCGATATCTTCCTCTTTCCCTGTGCAGTCTCTCTTCCTAGTGTGACCTTTAGCAGCGTATCTATTAAAAATAGCATTATAAATGCATTCCTTCTAAGCTTGAAGCGTGGTATAGGGCTTCTAAGGAGGCTGCCGTGTTTTCTTCTGTAAAATGAAGCTATTCGCAAGTGCAACTTCAAGGAGGAAAGACCAAAGTAACGCCTGCCAAGGACCGCGCCGGAATCGGTGCTAATATGTTATATAAGACCGTATCTAATCGCCGCGGTTAACGTGGTTTATTTTATTATTATACTAAGCGGTAATAGTAGGAATAGGGATTATCTTGAAGCTATTACTATTAAAGACCTGCTATAGGCATTATGACTCTGCCTTTATGCCTCTTTTAGCAGGCTTTTTCCTCTTTTTTAGTATGCGCTCGTAAGGGGCTCTGCTAAGCACAGTTAAAAGGAAGAGCATGATGCTGCTATCTTTCTAAGCGATTTAAATAACCTAGGGAGAAAGGAAAAGGACAAATTAGTAAGGGAAATACAGGTAAAGCTATTCATACCTATTTATCTTATATCAGGATCAAATATACCTCGTTATACTGCAAAGCTATGTCATCAGGAGCTTTTCCGGTCTCTTTTATATGCTTTATCTCGGTGGTAATGCCGCAGTTAGGGCATGCCATGCCTATGGCACCGTGGCCAAGCTACCGAAGAAGGCGAAAGAGCTGCGGCAATGAGAAGAGGTTATCCATAAAGACGTGACATATCTGCGTTAACAGCCTTTTTAGTAGGTAAACCACGATGCTTTGCGTATTATTAGGAGGAATCTCGGTCTGTAGCTTTTCCCTTCTTGCTATACGGCGTTAGTATAGGTAGCTTAACTATAACAGCCTTATATGGTGATGCCTTCACGTGCTAAAAGCCACTGCAGAAAGAAGCCCTATTAGGCAATAACCCAGACTTTGAACCCCACGGGCGTAGGTTTATTCTTAATAACAGTTATCTCTTTTAATCTGCCTGTAAAAGGGATCATATACTTATCTACAGTTAGATTAGTCCCTGGAGAATAGAGCTCGATAGACACGCTTTGTATGTGATTAGACCACTCTTCAGCCGCTTGGAAGGTCTTTGGAAGGTCGCTCTCATCCCTCACATCGAGCTTGGTGTAGTCAAAAGTGCGGAAATACCTCGTGATCAGCTCGAACTTCCGTAACGGCATGAACTTGATGATTGAGTGAAGAGGGCGCTGATCTCCTAGGCTAGGGTCTTCCAATGGTCTTTGATCGATATTTCCCTATGAATTCCTAGGTAAATAAGGACCCAAGCCATACATAAGCTGTTGCAGTAGAGATGCCTTCCCACTTGAGAATGCGGACTGTTTGGAAAGGGGGTATTCCAGTTGTCAATAATGCCATTTTCAAGTAAGTGAGTGACCCAGCTGTTGGTGTATTTAATCCATGACTGTACAAGGGAAATAGGTACGAAAAGCTGGAATAATTCAAGTGGTTCCTTGGGTAGAGGGTTGATCTTGAAATCACGATATTCTAGGTTAAAAGGTTGAAAATCATCACCGCAGCCCTCTTCGGGCGGAAAATTAGGCACGCCGGTGGGGTCATCAGCCGCCCTCAAAGGCGGGGTATCAAAGCTGTGATCATCTATATAATCAGGTATCTCTTGGGAGCTCATCGTTTTAATTAAGACGCGTTAGGGTCAATTTGTATGAGGATTTTGATGATTTTGGCTGTGTTGAATGAAGAAGCTGTCTGACGAGAACTTCACGTACCCCGCAGGTACTAGTGTTGTTAGTAAGCAATGTGGGGCGAGTGACCTGCCGGAGCCTTATGCCGCTCAAAGAGATAGCCTGTCTCACTCAGCCACAAGGTTCTTGAACAGTACGATATCCCTACGTCATATTGGGGATGTGCTTTTGGTTGTGTTTTTGCGTATTGGGCGGTGTGTGCCCTCCCACCAATCACCGTCTCTGTGTGTGTAAATCCGGGGTTCTCTAAAAACGCTCTTGACAGCTCTGGTTTGCCTATGGGGCCATAATTATAGATGGGATGAGAGAATTGAAAAGGTTCAGTAGGAAGACCTTTTAAGCAATTGGATTGTTATGTCGATGATAGTCTCGTCGTCGCGGTTTCCGGATGCAGAAAACTCGAAATTTCAGGAGGCGACTCTTTAGTGCTTACTATCCGCGGCGGATCGGCTCGGCCTAAGGCACTGTAGGTCAGATCCCGGGGCGCCACGATTCTTTAATGCTCAGTCGACATCCTCGGCACAAGCTCATCTTTACAAGTTGTCGGACTTTCCCATCTCCAGGCTATCACTGACGGTTTCAGAGTTCATAGGATCACCGAGACATTCGAACCGGGTTCATTCGACGATTCGTCAGTTCTGGATCTTCAAAGAAGCGCATCCAAGAAACGGCCAGCCTCTTCTTCCCTGGTTCATCCCCGAGCGAAGATGGCACGGATCAGAGAACTCTCAGTTGGCTATATTATTGATTCCAATCTTCCCTTCTCTACCTTCGAGAGTACCTACCTACAACAGCTGATTCGTCAGTTAGACTCTGATCTTTATGCTCAGATATCCTGGGGTCGACCTTCAGCCAAGAAAGAATTGGAGGACATACTCTCTTTGAAGAAAGCTGCCGTCAGGGAGGAGCTTGACGAAGCCGTCACACAGATACACATCAGCTTCGATCTGTGGACGTCTCCAAATAGACTAGCTTTCATTTCGATATTTGGCCACTTCATTGATCGGAGTAACTCACACCAACGCCGGCTACTTGCTTTCAGGAGGTAGATTGGATCTCACGCTGGCGAGAATATCGCCTACACTGTAAAAAATGTTGTCCCTGATTGGGGGATTGATCGCAAGATTGGGGTCTCGATCTGTGACAATGCAGCTAGCAATGACGTTTGCTTGCGAAACTTCTACACGAACCTCGATACCTCGATAACTCGAGCGGATGCGGAGGCACGAAGGATGCGATGTTTCGGGCATATCTTAAACCTTGTTGCCCAAGCTTTCCTCTATGGCGACGATGCAGCTTCTTTTGAACTTCAATCTGAGGCTTATGGCATGCTAGAGCGGGTCGAAGAAGACCTCGAACAATGGCGAGCTAAGGGCCCAGTTGGGA